CGTCGGTGGGGGAGCCCATGGCGTCGGTGGAGGAGACCATGTCGTCGGTGGGGGAGACCATGTCGTCGGTGGAGGAGACCATGTCGTCGGTGGAGGAGACCATGCCGTCGGTGGAGCAGACCATGCCGTTGGTGGGGGAGACCATGTCGTCGGCTGGGAAGACCATGTCGTCAGTGGGGGAGACCATGCCGTCGGTGGGGGAGACCATGTCGTCGGTGGGGAGACCATGTCGTCGTTGGGGGAGCCCATGTCGTCGGTTGGGGAGACAATGCCTTCGGTGGGGGAGACCATGCCTTCGGTGGGCGAGACCATGTCGTCGGTGGATTGACTGTGTTAAGGACCCCTTAAATATCCACGACATTAACCTTCAGCAGGGTCCACACCATGCGGCCATCCGTCACCTGTACCTCACCGTGACGCCTTCCGAAAGAAGCGTGCAGCATTAGAAGAAAGACGGCTTTTAGAAGATCGCCGGTCTTAGACTGAAATGAATTGAATAAACGGGACGTAGTCTAATCTTCATTTTTCCTTCATGCAGGCTTTCTGTCTAACTTTTATTCTTCCTTCACACAGGGCTCTGTCTAACTTTCATTCTTCCTTCACACAGGCCACTGTCTAACTTTCATTCTTCCTTCACACAAGGCACTGTCTAACTTTCATTCTTCCTTCACACAGGGCACTGTCTAACTTTCATTCTTCCTTCACACAGGACACTGTCTAACTTTCATTCTTCCTTCACACAGGGCACTGTCTAACTTTCATTCTTCCTTCACACAGGGCACTGTCTACAATATCATGCCAAACGTGATTTCTGCCGCTGACACGGACAAAGGAGTCCTCACCTACAGGTTTATATCAGGTGACTTCATAACGCTCGGTGTACATTGCAAATAACAAAACGGTTTTATAATTACATCATAGCATGATATGCCATTCTGGTGTACACCTTTTACCTTGGTCAGGTGACACAACAATGCTTTTCAATTGGCTTTTTAACATTTTTATTTGAGATCTTACTTACAGTAATGTAGCCTATCTTTGAAGAAATTAATAGAGGAACTATGGAATAAAATCCATAAAACTATGGTGGGGCATTTGCCCCCCCCCCCTTTCCCCACTGAATTTGCAGGTTTGATTTAAATTGCTATGTTTTGTGGCGCCTTCATTAATAAATAACTTAACAAACCGAACAAGTTTTGGTTTTGCCCCACTCTTCCCCGATAATAACCTGAAATGACGCCCCTTACTGGAATCAAAGATATTCCTTATTCTTAAAATCATATTCAATATTGCATTTCAGGACACCCTCCCAAGAGCTTGGAATACATCACTTTAAACTCCTCTAATGGGGAAGTGTGCATTAATAAACCTTTGGAAGAACTTCAAACATCACTAGTCATTTTAAAAATTGAGGTGAATATAAGAGAACCACTGTCCATAATTGTATGGCTATACGTTCAAAATATCCCAATCAAATTTACTATTCACTTACAGAATATGATCAAAATACTATGATTTTAATCGCTTCTTCCATTTGGGATGCCCTACACCAGGCAAAAGAAGAGAAGATCACCGCACAGTTTCGACAGAGTGCTCTGTCCAGCGCAACACTTGCCCTCATCATCCTGGACGGCCCAAGACCGCCGAGCCTCCACGCTGTGGCAACTCCCGAAGATCGCAACGCAACAGCACATCTTTGGTGTCTCGTGACGGCGCTCATTGTGTGCGCCATGGTCGTCGCGCTGTTCGCGATGAAAGGCGCGGCAGATGACGCGGAAACAAGAATTAAAACCATGTGGAGACAACTCACGAACGGATGAACGACGAATAGGTCCTTCCGTGTACCTGGGGTTGGGGGGTGGTGTTTAAACAGAGTGGATTTGGGGGGAGGGGGGGGGGGGTTAAGCATGAGTGGGTTGTTGTTTTTTATCAGAGTAGTTTGGGAGTGTATGAACAGAGTGGTTTGGGGTTTTATAAAACAAAGAGTTTTCGGGTATTAAAACAGAGTGGGTGGGGGAAGGGGGGGTATAACAGAGAGGATTGTTGTTTTTTTTTTTAAACAGAGTGGGTTGAGTTGTTTTTTTAACAAAGTGTGTGTTTTTTTAAACAGAGTGGGTTGAGTTATATTGAAAGCAACACATTTTGATACATGTATTTTTTTTTAAATATACAATATATATCTTAAGTTTTGTAAATTCATCTCTATTATATTATTTTAAACGGCTGTTATTTAAAGGTATCCTGGATATTTTTTATTTTTTTTTACACATGTACAAAATAACCTGACACCGACCGTAGATCATAGTTTGAGAACATAAAAAATGAGCTAAACACTTTCTTCGTTGCATTATTGAATTTTTTATAGTTATGCCCCCTGAAAGTCGATCGAAGCCTTACGAATGTGTTTTAACATTGTATGCACAGTAATAATCAACATTTAGATTGTTCAACCTAAGACGAACGGGACGCTGATATGTATTGAAAAATATGTGTAGGATATTAAACAAATAACGTTATCTACAGGCCCGGTTTAACACTAGGCTAACTAGGCGGCCGCCTAGGGTGGCAAATTTATGGGGCGGCAATGCTGCACTATGAGCTACGTAAAAAGTATAAATATTAAAAAAAAAAATTGTCACCCTTTAGTAATAAATGGATTGCATAATTTTTTTTAGTGGAGTGCTCTGAAATCACCTTCAATGATGGGCCGAGACTTACCACAGCCCTTTTAAAGCTTGAGAGAATTCACCAGAAATATCCTAACAATATAACCGCTCATTAGATTCAAAGTATCAAGGAGAACGCTAGTGGTTCCCACGCCGATACAGAGAGCCCATTTTGTAGGTGAAAACAATTATTTATTAGTTAACTAAATTTTATTTTTTTCTAAAAATTGAAACTTCTAACGACGGTAAATTAGA